GCCACTTCTGAGTTGGCACCAGAGGCAGGAGGAGAAAAAAAAAAACAAAAACATTCAAGATCTGAGAAATAAAAACCAAAACAGAAAAGTCTGGTTAGGAGAAGCAGCTCTAAGAAATTCATTTAAAAGTGAGAGCTCAGCAGTCCAGCAAGGTGCAGACTAAGAGATAAATGTTTGGGTGTTTAAAATGACGAGGAATAAAGGCATGCAGCTGAACATCAAATTCTAAAGCTGCACCCCTAAGCTGGCTGCCAGTCCAGCTAGCAAGTACAACCTCGAGGACCAAGAGAATGACATAATCTTACCTAGAAATCATAAACGTAGGAACATTATCCCAAGAGCTAGCATAGTAGGACAGTAGGACTCTGGTTAGGAAGAAAAGCAGAAAGTGGAAGTCTCTAGGGTGCCAAAAGCCACTTCTATACAAACAGCCTCGAAGATGCTGCTCTGAAGGCAGGTTTAACCTTGCAAGTCACTGACCTTTCATGCTTGGGTTTTTGTTTTTGTTTTTGTTTTTGTTTTTTTCTGAGAAAAGGAGTCATTTACTCAGGAGCTTCAAGGTAGAGTCTTTTTTTTTTTTTTCAGATGTTCAGACATATCTACAGAGAATAAGGACACCCTCTGGACAAACATTTTACCTCTTCAGTCTTATAAGCCTCTACCCATCATTCAGAATGCTAGTATCTTCAATCTCCCTTGTTAGACATTACAGTTTCAATTGCCTGAGCTTTCTTAATATTTCCTTAAATACAAAAAAAGCAAGAAAGAACAAGGGGATGGAAGGAAAGGAAGGAAGGAAGGAAGAAGAAGGGAGGGAGAGGGAGTGGAGGAGGAGAGGAGGGGAGGGGAGGAGGGAGGAAGAAGGAAGAAGGAAAGGGAGGGAGGGAGGGAGGAGGAGGAGAAGAGAGGAAGGAACGAAGGATAGAAAGGAAGGAGGAGGAGTGGAGGAAGGAAGAGGGAGGGAGGAGAAGGAAGGAAGGAGGAAAGGAGGGAGGAAGGAAAAAGGGAGGAGAGGGAGGAGAAGGAAGGAAAAGGGAGGAGGGGAGGAAAGAAGGAAGGAAGGAAGGGAGGAGAAGAAGGAAGGAAGGAAGGGAGGGAGGGAGGGAGGAGGAAGGAAGAGGAAGGAAGAGGAGGGAAGAAGGAAGGAAGGAAGGAAGGGAGGGAGGGGAGGGAGGAGGGAAGAAAGGAAAGGAAGGAAGGGAGGGAGGGAGGGAGGGAGGGAGGAAGAAGGAAGAGGAAGGAGAGGGAGAGGAGGAGAGGAAGGGAGGAGGAGGAGAGGGAGGCGAAGGAAGGGAGAGAGGAGAGAAGGGAGAGGAAGGAAGGAGGAGGAGGAAGGAAGGAAGAAGGAGGGAGGAAGGAGGGAAGGAAGGGAAGGAAGGGAAGGAGGAGGGAGGAGGGAGGAAGAGAAGGAGAGAGGGAGGAGAAGGGAGCAGAAAGGAGGAAGGGAAGGGGAGGGAGGGAGGGAGGAAGGAAGGGAGGAAGGGAGGAAGGGAGGGAGGGAGGGAGGGAGGAAGGAAGGGGATGTGTTAGAACAGTTAGTTCATCAGGTCTTGATTTTCCAGGTAATCTCTACACAGATCTGGCAGAAGATTAACTTGCAAACTGAATTTGCAGGCCCTTTACAAACACTCAGGTTAACACTTGGCGATGTCCTACAACAGTGAAACAGGACACCTCGCCTCTGCTCTGGAAGCAGCTCTTGCAGTGTCAGCTGCCCAAGGTCCCTGGGGACCTTCGGAACTGGAGAGTGAGAGTGATCTGGTTGCATATGCAGACGACCGGGACTGCACTGAAGAAAGGCAGCCAGGCATTGCGCGGAATGACCTGCATCTTCGTGGATATCTATTTAGGCAGAGAAATAAAGCACCTGTATTCTATCCTGATGCATCTGGCCACGTAAATATATCTGAATCTGTGCCGCACTAACCCATCTACTTTTGCTTATTCCAAAAATGTCTTTCCAAATCAAAATTTAATCAAAGTAACCCAAGGCTTCCTTTTCCTACTATAGTTTCATGAACTTGAAATCACCGTTCTAAAAGGTACACAGATTGTCACCTATTTCACAAATACATCAAAGATGGAACAATTTTTAGCAAGTTATAATTGAGTCTGTTTCTCCTTGAGTGACATGCATTTGATCTTAATCGGAAAAGAAGTTTCCAGAAAGGAGTATCAACAGTCTACAGATACTGAGAACACAACTGATTCCTGATGGCGGTAACCCACCCCTGCAGTAAACATTAAAAACCAGTGATGATCTCTGTCCCCAAGGGTTTGGGTTGGGAAAACATGAAAGCGTGTTCTCCGCCTCACCCACATCAGACACCAGAGCAACCGCCTCTGTCAGTCTGGAGTCCTGGCAAACCTGGACCCATCTCTGTTGTCTGCATTTCCACGAAGGCCTCAAAAGGAAGCTAAGAATGCAGCGTAATTCTTAAATGCGGCCAGACTCTGCAGCCAGGGGACCTGGAACTGAGCTCTGGGTAATCCCAACGAGATGTTTAGCCTCACAGAGCCTCTTCTTTCCCACCTGTGTCATGGGAAGATTAACACGCTCCTACCCTGCTGGGCTGCCATGAACACCAGCTGAGGCCCCACATGCAAAAGTGCTTTGGAACCACAAAGCCCACTCGCCAAGACACCAAGCCACCCTGTCGCTGGAGGAATGCTAAGATCCCTGATGCAGATGCTCAGAAAAGGCCGCCCCGGATCTGCTCCTGGGGAAGGGCAGGTGGAAGGTGCCCAGGGTGGGGAGAGTGCCTTCTCTGGGCCTTTTGCATGACTGTCCTTCACAGGTGTGTCCTCACCTTTCTCACGTCAGTGAGCTGTTTTGGACTCTTGCTTGGGATTCCAACGTACTCCTTAGTTGTTCCCGCTACTGTGACTTTTGTCATACACAGTGCTAAGAGGGAGGCACCGAGATCTTGCCAGTCTTTAGCCAAGATGGTAAATTAAAGCCTTTGGTTTCACTAAACTGAAAATGCAGGGTAGATAATTTTAACCGGGATGTCAGATTCTGTGCCTATGTCTCAGTCTTCCACTTGGACCACTGCTATTTCTCTCACCACACACACACATGCTCACACACATGCATGCTCACACACACACATGCTCAGACATGCATGCATGCACACACGCACACACGTACACACATGCACATCCACATCCACACATGCACACACGCACACATCCACACACATGCACACACAATGCACACAAGCATGCACGCACACCCACGCACATGCACACATGCACACATGCACACACATGCACACGCACGCACATGCACACGCGCACACACATGCACACGCACGCACATGCACAAGCATGTCTCTTCTACTAAGATGGGGAGGAATGAGATTAGAGTAACAGCCCACTTGAAGCTGGACTTGCAGTTGCTGGAGCTCCAACAGCTACGTTCGAAAGTCAATGCTATTGAGGGTTCTCTCCTTGCCCCAGATGTTCCTAGCTGAGGAAACTGAGCACTTGTGCGGGAGGAGCGCTTGGACACCCGGTGCGAGCACTTCCTGCGACAGCGGCTGGATCCCGCGGGGCATCAAAGCGGACACTGACGCCCATGAATCCGCGCACGAATCTCCTTTCTGCCTCTCCGCGAGCAAGAAAAGCACAGTTCTCACCAAGTGGCAAACACCATTCACAACAAACTTCTTAGCAAAAAGCAGGCCCGGGGCCAGTGCCCATTCCGGCTGCGAGGCCTCCAGTCACCGGCGCTGGGCACCTCCAGGGGACGCGGGAAACGCCAGACTTCCGACGCGCGCTAGATTGGGTGTTAACGGTGGTCGGAGGGAACAAGCAAAACCGAATTAAATCAGAGCTGAGCTCCAGACTGGCCATGCCTGCCCAGCCGCTGCAGTGCTGCGCCAGGAAAGGTCTGACTGGCGCCAACGCAACACTCCCACGCTGCGCGTCGGAAAAGGATGAGTCACCAAAGTGAAGATTCCCTGGGGAATTCCCCGCATTTCCTTCCGCGTGTGCACACTCAGAGGCTGACCAAGGTTCATCCAGCCACGGAGTGAGGAAGGCGCAGCCTGGGACTCGCAGGCGTGGCTAGGCCGCATGTCCTCCCCTGACCCTACCGACCTACGACCGCACCGCGTGGCCTCGTCCTCGAAGCTGGACACGAGCTCGGCCGCATCCAGGGCAGAGCTGGAAGGCGAGGGTGGAGCGTCGCGGGTGCGGGGCGGGCGCCGCGCTGCGCTCATGTGGCGTTTCCCGCGCCCTGGCACGTGCGCCAGACCCGGGGAGAGAACCGCGGTGCGGACGGGGCTGGGGGCTGGAGAGGCTTGGGCGCTGGGGGGCGGCACAGGGGAGCCGGCGCTCGAAGCTGGGCTCCGGGCTCCGGGCTCCGGCAGGGCCGGTCCAGCTGCGGTCCCCAGGGCTGTGCGCAGGAAGGAAGCCGGAGTTGGAATGGGGAAGCAACTTTAAACAATTTCGTTTTCAGTTTATTTTAAATGGGCAAAGGCGCTGCAATCCCATCTGGAAGTGAGTTCTCTCCAAGGCTGTCACAGTCCCCCTGGAGCCCACGCCTGCAGTTCCCGGCCAGAGCGGGAGCAGGGGCGTCCCAGGTACGCGCCGGCCCCGCCAGCCTGGGCACCGGCCCCGGGTCCCGGCAGCGCCCGAGCCGCGCCCTGGAACAAAGCGGCGGCGGCGCCCTCCCCAGACGCGCGGAGCCCGCGCGCGTGCCGGGTAGACCTGCGGCAGTCAGCTGTGTTCGTGACTCCTTCCGTCTCGCGGGGGAGGGGAAGGGCTCCGAAACTCCGGGACGTTCTCCCCAAACTGGGAGACGGCCGCTTGGCACGCGATCCCACCGGCACGGAACTCCCGGCGACTCGGGCCGGCGGCCGCGGGGCGGGGGTGGGGAGGGGCGGGAAGCGGGGGAGGGGCGGCGGGCGACGAGAGGAAACAGGTGAGCTCCCCCCGCCCGCGTAGGAAGCCCGGCGCGGCGCCCGGCGCCACCGTCCCGGCCCGGCACTCACCGGCTTTGCACGGGTCCTTGTAGTCGATGGTCTCGGCGCCGTCCTCCTCGCCGCCGCCCGGCGCGTAGTCGTAGTCGAGGCCGGCGCAGACCCGCAGCTCCCCGCAGAGCGCGGCCCCCGAGGCCACCAGCCACAGCAGCATCCCCGGGGAGAGCGCTCCCAGCCCCATCTCCTCCCGCGGGGCGCGCGGGCGCGGCGGGTGCGGCGGCGCGCTTCGCGCCGAGCGCGGGGCGGGCGTGCTCCGCGGCCGGGCGCGCAGGTGCCCGGACCTGCGGCGCCGTCGGGACGCGCGGAGGCGGCCCGGTGGGCTGGGCTGGGCCGGCTGGCGGAGCGGTGGAGCGCTGCGGCGCTCCGGTGCCGGGGCGCGCTCGGCGCCGAACTTCCCGCGGCTCAGCGGCCCCGCGCCGCGCCCCGCCCTGCCCGGACCCCGCGGCCGCGCGCAGCCGCCTGCGCCGCTAGGCGAGTGCGGCCGCGCATCAGCGCGCCGGAGCCGGCCGCGGGCTCCGGGCGGGGGCGAGGGGGGCGGGCATGTCCGCGCGCAGGAGCCCGCAAAGCCGCCGGCCGCGCAGAGCTGCGAGGGTCGGGATGCGCCCGGCGCCTCCCCGCCTGTCTTTTACCCTCTTCCCAACTTGAAAAAAAAAGCCTTCGCCGCATCTAACCCAATCACTCGCATCCTGCTTACTTATTCATACAATCAGGGTCAGGATCCGGGCCACGGCCTCCCTCCGCCTGCGCCCGGGCCCTGCACAAACAAACGGGCGCGAGCGCGGCGCCCGCTCCGGCCGCGCCGGGTGGAAAGCGCGGACCGCGCCTGGGCGCCCGCGAGCGCGGGGAGCGGACGGCGCGCGTGCCGGCGGGGAGCGCCAGACCGGGGGCGGCGGGATCGTGACGGCCGCGCCGCGCCCCTCCCCCGCGCCCGCCGCTCCTGCCTGCGCCGGGAACCTGGGGCGCCCGGAGCCCTGGCGAGCCGCCGAGAGCATAAGCGACTCCCGCGAAACTCTCCTCCTCACCAACAAAGTTTTGCGGTCCCCTGAACAGCATTAAAAAGAACCCCAGCTGCGCTGGAGACGCCGCGGGGGGCTGCGCCACGGGGCCCCAGGGCTGGCGCGCAAGTCGCGGGGCGCGTGCTTTCCGAGGCGGCTCAGGGTCCCCGGGCGTCATCGGGGTCCAGCTTCCTGGGCGGAGGGTGGGGGGTTGCCAAACGCAGCTGCAGGACCCGAGAGTAAACCCCTGTCACCCACCAGCCCAGCGGCTCCGGACAAACGCAGGTGGTGGGAAGTTGGGGAGGAAAAAAAAAATCAAAGGAAATCTCTGCAAAACCCCCGTGGCGAGCAGTTCCGAGGTTTCCCCACATCTGTAAGCAATTTCCAAAATAGGTGAGGCGACTTCTCCCCCGGCTTCCCGGGGGCCTGTGATGGGTGCTTTCCTTTTCCAACTATGAATAAATCTCTTAGCTGTCGCTTTAGGGAGGACTCGTAAAAAACCTTCTGTTGTCTCTACATCTTTATTTGACAAGTGCTCCCCTTATCCAAGAAACCATCAACGTGCAGAGTCTCCTCTGGAGGGAACTAGGAAGGCGGCCACATCCACCCGTGCGCGGACACACACTCGCACACACACACACACACACACACACACACACACACACACACTCCTTTGACAGGCCAAGCCAGCTCCAGTTGGGAGGTTTGCCCAGGTTTATGTGTGTTTAGGGAAAGTAAAAGGAGACTCTTGAAGAAGTATAGACCGTTTTCAACTTACACTAAACGTGGCAGAAAGACGAAGTGGAACCTAACCAATTTCAAGTTCTTTGCAAACGGGGGGGGGGGGGAGGTGCTCTCTGGGAGGCCGCTGTAGTTAGAGAGCCCCCCTCCTGCAGGTCATAAACTTACAACTGTCCAGGATGCTCAGCAGACAGCAGGTTTTTAAAAGAACATGTTCAAATAAGCAGGTAGAGGCGCTTGGTTTTGAGATCTCTTGCTGAGTCATTCTCAAATTCTCTCACCCATTCGAAAAAGGAGTCTGCATAATTTAATAACCGCGTTGCCCTTGTGCAGGGCCCAACAAGAAGGTGTCCTGCCTGGCCCAGCTAAAAGCCCTGAAAATGCAAATTTTCTGTAGAGGATCCTTGCCCTTGAGCTGTGAAGGTGTCCCCACTCCCCGACCCCCCACCCCATCCTAAAAGTCTCCCTTGTTGATCTAAATGCCTGCAAACATCTCCCTAGCCCGTTTTATCAAATACAGGTTTGCCAGAGCTTATACCTGGAGTCTGCGTAAATATCACCTACTTTGCAGGAATGAATATGTTTCATTCATTTGTGCAGAGAGAAAAAAAAATGGAACCATGAAGGGACATCTGATACCTGTTACTTTTTTGTGCAGATGTCTCACTGCTTGGTTTTATAATTTTATAAATGTGTAACCGGAGAGTTAGAATGATTAACATCGTAGAGCCCCAATCAAAATCTAGAAATGTGTCTCTGTTGCTAAACCACTTGCAGAGAAGTCTTACGTGCATCTCCAGAGCCTAGGCCTCAATCTCCGACTTGTCTTTAAGTATTATTTTAAAATGTTAAATCTAAGCTTATCACAGTTTTCCTTTTTTATTTTTTGAATAGTTACCTTTAAACTACCTTTATTTCTGTAGTTGCTATGATGACAAACTAAAAGTGGTTTTTCCCTGTCCCTGAAAGAGACGTGGATTTGGGGGCGAGCAGGGAGCTGAGTGTGAGGGTGCAGCCGCAAACACACGCACTATGTGAATTCATCTCCTCGGGAAGACAGAGAGGAAATTGATTCCCTCGGTAAGATGTGCTGATGTGGCCCGGGCTCGGAGCTGGCCGCTGCCCTTGGCCGGCACCACATGCGGCCTCCAGGGTGGCAGAGAACAGAGCCACCCACGGGGGCCAGAGCAAGAGGCAAGCTCTGCCCGTTGGTGTATCCTGTTAGATACGCCAGGCAAAACAAACTCGCCTTGTAGGTAATGCCCATCAGACGTGTTTATTTTCTAATCTAGCCAATTTGGGGAAAACTAGATGTGACGGTTTTTTGGTTGTGAAACCAGCTAATACACGAATGAATGTATTTCCCTCATATCCCTGGTGAAAAATGATTCAGACACGTACGGGGTGAAATGAGTTCTCCTCTCCCCCCACCCCTGCTCTCACCCTCCCCTCCAAACTAAAAACTGCTAGCCTGTTACGTCGTGAGTGTATATAGATCGACCCCTATGAAATGGTCTTGTCCGTAGATCAAAAGCGGCAAATATCGGCGACTTCATGTTGCTTCGAAGCTTTGAAACACGCCTTGCTTCGTATCAGCACTGCCGTTGTTCCACGTGAACTTCAGGCAAATGCTGTAAGTGCTGAGCTGGTTCTCTGAGCCGAGATGGGCACTGAGTTCCACTTCGTTTCTGTTTTTTATTTATTTTATTTATTTCAGCATATTACAGAGGTACAAATGTTTAGGTTACGTATATTGCCTTTGCGATCTGCCCGACACCCGACGAATGTTATTACTATGCGTGCACTGAAGTGTTGATCAGTTAACACCGATGGTGAGTACACGTGGTGCTTGCTTTTCCATTCTTGTGGCACTTTTCCGTTTTTTTTAAACCTTATATTCTATGACTTTTATATCACATTGTTGTATATATCACCACCCCCAACTCTTGATAATTGGGATGGCCCTACATTAAAATCTGTCCTTATTACTGTTTCCTAAGTAACAGTTACTACGGCGGCGTGAGAGACAGAAGGAGAAAAAGCGAGCAGAGGGCAATGTTTGCTTCACCACAAAGGTGCAAGAGGAAGTGTTTGTTTGTGAGGGAGCAGACATCCACTTCCCCAGGGGAGCAAGAGGGCCTTCCTGCTGCAGGGGACTCTGGACTCCGGCTCCGCAGGGTTGCTACTCTGAGATCTCCGGTTATTCCTTGGTAGTCTGCTGTGCTACACCTTCTTCCGACCATTCCCTTGCTGTGGTGGGAACAGGGACACCCTTTGCTTTTGTGGCTTTTAGTTACTCCAGACCATTTAACTCTCCCTTTCGCCCCATGCCGATGGGAGGGGAGGCTGAGGCAGGAGGACGCTTTGAGACCAGGAGTCTGAGGCTGCAGTGGGCTGTGATGTTGCCACTGCACACCACGCCTGCCTGGGTGGTAGAGCGAGACCCTGTCTCCCCCCCTCAAAAAGAAAAAAAAGCTGATCTAGGTCAATCCCTACGCCCCCCAAAACCACACCACACGGTCCGTGGACGACAGTCGCCTGCCCCTCACGGGACGCCTGGACCACAGCCAGTTCCTTCCTCTGCCTGCATGTCGCTCATTCTCATTTCTAGTCCTCAGCACGGAAGGGCTGGGTGCAGACCAGACTCTGCATGTATCTATTAATAGTTCCTGGTACATATTAATATATATATATATATATATATATATATAACCAATAATACATATTACTATTTATATATATGGAGAGAGACTAGTTCCTAGTACCCGGGAACTTTGGTAACTGTTGCTACTGTTATCATTTTAAGTGAGCTCTAAAAAGGCAAATTACTCCCCGCCCCGCTAAATGCATATTTATTTATTTATTTATTTTTGAGACAGAGTCTCACTGTGTTGCCCAGGCTAGAGTGAGTGCCGTGGCGTCAGCCTAGCTCACAGCAACCTCCAACTCCTGGGCTCAAGCAATCCTGCTGCCTCAGTCTCCCGAGTAGCTGGGACTACAGGCATGCGCCACCATGCCCGGCTAATTTTTTCTATATATATTAGTTGGCCAATTAATTTCTTTCTATTTATAGTAGAGACGGGGGTCTCGCTCTTGCTCAGGCTGGTTTCAAACTCCTTACCCCGAGCAATCCTCCCACCTCGGCCTCCCAGAGTGCTGGGATTACGGGTGTGAGCCACCGCACCCATCCTAAATGCTTATTTAGAAAGAGCCTTCTCTTCCTTCCTTGGCCTGTCGCAGAGCCAAGCTGTGCTGGAGAGACGTGGACAGTCCAGGCAGACACACGGGCTTGAGGACACAGGACTCGGCAGCAGAAACACGGAGTTTTAAGTCTCCTTTTGCCGTGTAGGGGCTGTTCTGCCTCCCGCAAGTTACTTTCTTACCTTCACTCTCCTCAATTTTGAGACAGAAATAAAATACCTACTAGGGTTGAACCGAGAGTTAA